ATTTCAGCTGATAGTTAGTTACAAAAGGGGGGTCAACAGGTACTGCCTCAGAAGAACTATTTCATTCAGGACAACGGTGCAGAGACAATATCAGTGACAGGTCAGGGGTCAATGGTCATCATATCTGTGGCAGCTGGTCCATAAGACACATTTCAAACTGAACGTTGAAAACTACTGAACAGGTTCTAATGAAACTTCTTTACCTTCAACCATCAGTTTGATCAAAGTGAGTCTGATGTGTGAGTGAGAACGTGGAGAACGTTTCCTCCTTCGCTCCCTGAGCGTCTGTTCTCTCACTCTGCTGAGTGGGTTCATCTCCTGAGAGAACAAGTGACTGAGAGTCACAATCAGCTCCAGACAGTTGAAGAGTGAAGCTGAACTGAGATCAGTTCAAAACACTGAGAAGTTTTTAACAACCAGAGTTTATCTCCAATGTTCAGCAGCAAACTTTAAAACATGAAGAACTCACAGAGATTTGTTTCAGCAGCAGCTCTGCTGGTTCTGGTCCAAACAAAAGAAAAATCAAAGTATACAACAACATTTTTTTTGTCAAATCTGAGACTGTTGTGCGTTTGGTCAGGACCTCGACACAAAGGCTCCACACCACACTGTCTACTGAAGTGAAGTTACCACCACAAGATGTCGGCATCTGAATCGGATCTACTTTTACTTCACTTTTGTACAACTGGAGGAAGTGGATACTCATCATCAGAACATGTTGGCCTCTATATGTGAAAACATGTATCTGCAAATGAATCCTAAACTTGATGTGTTAACAGAATTCTTGCAGGACCTGCCCCACAGCCTTAATAATAGATATAAGGATGATAATAATAATACTGTGAAGTTAATGAGCGAACACTTCTGAAAGCTTTCACTAGTTCGGACCTCTCGACTCAAACACATAACTACTGTTGCTGGATTCTGGCGCTTTCAAACCTGCAAAATGACACTGAGAGCCCCCAGAGGAGAAGAACCCAGCGTGCAGCTGAAAACAAGGTGACATTTGTTCATGATTGGCTGATTGACGCAGGAGAGTTTATTGTTGTGCAGCCAGTTGGACAAAAAGCTCCCGCTAAAAACTTGGCTCTCAAGGAGACAGCTGTATCGGAGAATGCAGCTCGTGCCAACTGTGGTAAAAATCTGTGTTCTCCGTGGAGTTTTCTGAGGACGTGTTTGTGTGAATTTGTGCCCTACGCCCCCGTCTGCAGGCGCACTCTGAGCCTTTCTGCTCCAAACACCATCCAGACTAATTCACAGGGAAGCTGCCGCCGAGCTGAGGTGCAACACTAAGCTAAAAAAAAAAAAAAGAACAGTTTCCTGTTATTGAAGCTGTTTGTTCTTCAAGTCGAAACATGTGCTGCAGAAAACAGAGCGAGGAACAAGTTGAAGCTCTAACAAAACTACTGATGTCTGAGGGGAAACAGTCGTCATCAGAGAGGATGTAGCATCTCTTCTGCAGCTTAAACCACAGCAGAGGAGGAACCAAACTTGTGACCTCCACCTGCAACAGGACCAGCTAATGATTCCCTGTCAGTGCGTTTGAGCAGCAGCTCGTCTGAACCCCACCGCCACCCCTCCCTGACTCCTCCTGCGGTGCCCCACCGAGCCCGGAGCAGCCGGTGTCAAAGTAAGCCGTCAGCTGGATGAATGGCCTGCAGCCTTTTGTTCTCCCTCCGCTATTAAGAAAGACCACGATGAAATATTATTATTCTGCTGCTTCGAAATATGTCAGATTAAATCGTTACCTTCGCTGAGCCGCACACAAAAGGCACAAACACTGAGGCACTTCACAGGCAAAGTCCAGGATGTTTTTTTTGAGTTCCCTGAAATATTATTATAAAACCATTGTTAAACTGCTCAGAAAAACGACAGCTTAAATCATCACCTTCAGCGGCGGAAAAGTAAAAAGCGCAAATGTGCTGGCGAGATTTAAAGTGCGGAGTAATTTGAGCTTTTGAATCGCCGACAGCAGCAGGTTGCTCGACTGCATAACCCAGGCTAACGTAACCTGGGTAATAATAAAAGAGACTGCAGTTTGAATTTTACATCCACGTGCAGCAGCCCGTCTCTCCTGCAGCAGCGCAGATAACAATTGTTTAAGCTTTTTAAGTGTCACAAGGGACACAGAGAGGACGTCTGTCTCTTGAGCCACGATGAAATACATCTCAAAAATATCCAGCTGAATGAAGTGGTGGGGTCTGAAACGGGAGGCTTGATGGGATCAGCTACGGAGACAGACGCAGTCGGTAACTGACCGCTCTGTTCACGTCAGATGGTTGAAAGACATTTTTTAAGATAAATTCTAAATAAAACAAACAGCAGCTTCATTTAAACCGATCCCCTCAGTACACTGTCAATAAAGATGAACAATGTGCCTCCACTTCCTCCCACTGTCCACAATGTCTTTGATACTGGAGCGAGTCCGTCTCAGCCGTCAATCATGAAGTCTCAACCCGTTTTTATATTTCAATTAAAACCTTCTCAGAAACACTTGAACATACTTCAGATTAGATTTTTTTTTTTAGTTTGCTCCATGTCCCGTCTGCTTAAATGTAGGAAGCTTTAATATACACACTGCAGCCAACCACCAGGGGGCTATCAGGATGTTTTGGCTTCACTCTTATGCAGATGTCCTGTCGTCAAATTTTATTTAAAGTCTATGATGCAAACAGTTTGTATCAGGAGTCGTTTGAGAGAAAACTAAATCAGAAACAAGGACATAACGCTCTCAAAATTAAAAGTTTGGTGACTTGAATGAAGACAGGAAAGTGATTGTCCCTCATTATCATCAAAATCTAAGATGGACACCAACTTTTAATAAAATCCGCCCTCCTCGCTCCCCGGCTGACCTGCGCTCTCATTGCACGTTGACGGTGAAAACAAAGACAAGGGAGAGAAAAAGAGCTGCGTGCGTTACAACTTTCATGTTGCGTGTAAAAATGAAGAAACAGATCATCTGTTCAGTCTGAGGAGGAGAAAGAAAGTTTTTGTGTGAACAGCTAATGATTTCAAGTTGACATGTCGGCACAGCTTAATAACAGCAGAATAATAATATTTCAGCTCGCTCTTTCATAACAGCAGAGAGAGAGAGAGAGGGAGCGCAGGCCATTCATGTTGCATGATGGGTAGTTTGACACTGGCTGCTTTTCTGCTCAGTACAATGTTTCCACACAACACGTGTAAATCTAAATCCATGTATGTTCTTTGCAGGAGATGCTAACGTATGCTCACACGCTCACACGCTCACACGCTCACACACACACACACACACACACACACACACACACACACACACACACACACACACGCCTGTCACTGTGTGTTGAGTGAGATGACGAGGAGCATTGAAAGCTCACTCTCTTGACACACACCCCTCATCTGCAATGACAGCCAGCAAGCTATTATTAACACACACACACACAGGTATGCACATCAAACTGACAGCTCAGCTATTAACCCCCGGCCCTGACTGAACCCTCATATACATCACAGCAGGGTGTGTGCGTGTGTGTGTGTGTGTGTG